TCTATCTCGATGGATTATCTGATTATTCTGTTATTAAAGTGGTCAGTTTTGGTAACAGTTCTGGTCTTTTTAAAGTCAATTTCATGTCCTGTGGCTTTAAGGTGTTGGACCAGGGAAGAAATTGGTCAAAAAAGAGGAACCAAATTCTTCCCTGGTCCAACACCTTAAAGTCAAAAAAGAGGAACCAACTTCTTCCCTGGTCCAACACCTTAAAGCCACAGCACATGAAATTGACTTTAAAAAGACCAGAACTATCGTCAAAACTGAACACTTTAATAACAGAATAATCAGAGAAGCCATCGAGATAGAAAAACGCCCATACAGCATTAATAAATGAGATGATACCTCCTGCCTACCAGCCATTTGGAAACTCGCCCTTATTGACAAATGAGTCCCTAACACAAAGAATGACACCAGACCCACTCACGAAAACCACACAGGATGTCACCACCACACATCCACGCAAAAAGCAAACCCAAACTCACACCGATGATGAGGCACAACCACAAAGCAGAAGCTAGACCACAGCTGCATCATTAGCCACTTTAAACCCCTCCAATCCATACATGAAGCAAACTGACACCCACCATGAAGATCAGGCACGACCACGAACGCCAAGCCAAACAACGGCAACACAGCTCACCATCTCAAATCCCCCTGCAACTCAGACTAACCTAAGCACAACAAAGCCCCCACCCAAACAGAACACTCCCCCATCCAATCAGAGCACAGCCAACCCCCCATCCAATCAGAGCACAGCCAAGCCCCTAACCAATCAGAACACACCTTCACCCAATCAGAACACAGCCAAGCTCCCACCCAATCAGTTCATACCCCCACTGGCAGTTAAAAGAAACAGCTACAATCACACATTGCTCCTAGAAGCACGAAGCCGAAAACACCAGCCTGAAGATGACGAATGGGACTTCGTCGAAACGTCGCCAAGACACTTCCAATTTTATGCGGGAGAAAACCCGAATAACCAAAGACCTACACACATATATGTGTATGTGTGTGTGTGTGTGTGTGTGTATGTGTGTGTATATGTATGTATGTATGTATGTATGTATGTATATATATATATATATATATATATATATATATATATATATACAGAAAATAGTTATAAAATATAATCACCCCTTGCAGAAAGATTATATGTTTCAAAAGTATTATCTACCAATTCAAAATTGATTTGTTACTATTGGTCAGCATGATAAGTCACACACTGGTAACTTGTAAGTACGTGCATAAATCCCATCAAATTAGCTGACTATAATATATACAATAATTTGCACAGCTTGATGTGCAGTAATTTGCACAGCTCTGGCTGATCAAAGCAATGTTACAATGTTTTAAAAGTAAAAAATGTTATTCTTTTGAAATGATGTTTCTGGTCTACTATAGGCACACATAAATTTTCTTCATTGCTGGAAATGATAGCTCTTATCTGCAGAATAGACAGATTCTACATTTTACAAAATACTGAGTGAATGGTTCTGTTTCATAGTACTTTTCAAAGAAAGCTACATAGAATCAGTTGCAGTCCCTGAAATGCTACTTTAAAAAGTGACACTGTCAAGTATTTTTAGGTTAAATGTTTACATTTTTGTAAGTTTTCCATTATCTGCATGCAAAGGTTGCTTACACCCTTTACTCTTGATGGATTAATAAACGTTGCATTCCCTATTTTTGCCCTTCTCTGCTACTTTTTTCTAGCACTCAGAGAATTTCTGCTCTACAGTGAATATTATTTCTTAATCACTTTAGCTCCCCCTCTGGCTGAAAATTGCATTTTACAGCATACAATAATAAAGAGGCATGAATCAACAGTGTCTAATTTTAACTCATTTATTTAATTTCTCAGACAGAGCAACTTAAAAAAAAACAAGTGGAATTAAAATGAACACAATTGCCATGCTGTGATAGTCTGAAAGGGAGATCATATTTTAAAAGTTACTTGACAGTGTCCCTTTCATTTAAAAATAAAACAAAAACAGACTTAAGTTTATATTGCAGTAGATTTCAAGTTTTCTTGCATTTCATATAAAATATAATTATGACTGTGGATCTTTCCTACAAGATGCTGAAAACATATTCAGGAAAAATAAGGCATGTTTTCCAAAAGCTGGATGCTTGGCACATTTGAACATACTGTTTTAAAAATACCAAATATGATCAAATATACCATTAACTTTTATTCATCTGGCCTTTAAACAAAATTTTCTCACTATTGCTTATTTTAATTGTGAGTTATTGTACCTTTATCAAGTACTGAGCACCTCAATTGGAAAAACATGAAATCAAATCAAGGTAATTTATGGTTCAAATAACATCATATTGAACAGGTCCTAAAGTATCAAGTGTGCCTATGGGAGAAAAAGATTATCTTAGACTGGGGACATCAAATTCTGCTGGAACTGGACTAAAAAGAGAATTATACAATTCACATGTCATCTTGTTCCAACATATAAAGAACTGAATTCTCAGATACACAGGCCAGGAAAAGTTTTTGAACTTTGACTCTCACGAAAGAGATATAAACAAAACATATATTTGTTGACTAAAATAGCTTCAACACTGCCTGGAATCAGACAACAGGTTTAGAGGATCAAAGGTGGTAGGTAAGGACTAACTGCCTATACTAGGTACCTTCATTCTAGTTTAGCCTTTGATAAACACACATTTGCTATGTTATATAAATCTGGTCACAGGCAACAGGGGGGCAAATAAAATGTACATTCACACCCTGAGAAGCAAAGTACTCACTTAAAATCTCTTTACAAGTTTACTATCTATGTTCACTCTAAAACCGAATTGAGTATTTTGCTGTTATACAAGTTTGATTTAATTTAAATGGAACAAGACTGTCCCTCTTCTCATATAAAACAAGTTATTGCTAAAAACAACGCTTCTGCCAATCTATAGAATTAAAACCTTAGACACTGTAGGGAATAGTGGAACGTACAAACAAAATAGCAAAAATTAAAACATTAAGCTTTTCAACTACCTACAGCATGGAAAATGCAGTCCTTTCTATATCACAGTTCAAATACAGTATGAAACTGCCTACAAATTAAAACAAAGCAAATCTGACACTCAAAAGTTTTACATGCGGCCAAAAAGTATCACATTGTGCACCATGGAAGCTTACTTTTTCCTTATGGAAAAGTGCATCTTAGAAAACAATTGTAATAAATTCCAGTGATTCTAAAAAAAAATCCTAACCACTATATTATTGCACATTTGGTGCTATACGGACACCATTAGCAAATGTATTTAACTAGAAATAGAGGATACAAATGAAACAGACTTGTCTTAATAACTTATAATATATCTCTAAAGGGGATTACTTTTAACCAAAAATACATTTCTTTTGAACTATTGTCTTACCTAGACTCAATCTCTTACAATCAGTGAAAACCAAAACACAGTTCTGTTCCTACAGGTGGAATCTGCTACATAAAGTAGTTAAATCCACACTGATAAATTTGTCAAAGTAGTTTAGAAAATGAATACACTCAGAAAATCAAGAATCAATAAGATTCTTGATTTGTCCACTCTTCCTAGAGAATTCCAACTATTTTTTCTACTGTTTTAAGGCATCATTTATTGTTTTCACTTTGCAATGATAGTCATGCAGCAGTTTAATGATAAAAATATATTAATATTTTACTATACAGCAGCAAGTAGTTAGTCAACTAAAAGCACAAACATTTTAAAGAAAAATCTGTAAAAGTATATTACTACAAATAATTGCAAGTTGGAGAACACTTCCAGATAGGTTAGTATTCTCACAGTTTTTATACTTTACAGCTTTAATATATATCACACAAAGTACATAATTATAACTGAAGATTTGCACACTTGGGGGAGGAGTCAATACTACATGAATAAAGTATGTAGCCAGTAATAACTAGCACCACAGCTACATGAAAATTTCTTTACAACACATCAACTTGGCTTTTACTTTTAAAGGAAACTCAAATCCATGGCTCAGTAGGATTACACCATAATCATGTTGAACTGATGTCTACGACAGGCCTACACAAGTTAGTTAGCACTAGCATAAGCTGGAGTTTTGACTGAGACTCTGAACAAATTAAAAGAATAGTGCTAGTGGCCACACAAAAAAACCCTTACCACCTGTTGTTGAAAAAAAGGCATACTGAAAATCGCTGCATGTTAAAGTACTTTTAAGTACACGTCATAAAAATATATATATTATGAACAATACAATTACATCTCATGTACACAACAATGACAAGATACCTACTTAGTTGTAAACCAAACAGGTGCAGAAAAATATGGGAGATCATTTCTCTCTCTTTTTACTATTTGAATAACTTTGGTTCAAACCATAAAAATCACAAGTTAGCAAATTTCATTTAAATGCCTTTTTAATATTTTTCTTTATGTTCACAGAAGTTTCACTGACCATTTTATATGCTTAAGGTCCAGATGCAATGCATATTGTATAAAAGAGAGCACTTATTGTTACCTTGCATGAATTAAACCTACGTACCTTTTAACTCTACAGACTTCTGCATAACATTTAGACAAAGCTCAGACACACAGCATGCCTAGCCCTCATATATATATACACATCTCTAATCACAGGTATATAGGGTGTCAAATATACTATAATAACCTCCATGAAAGGTTTTGAAATTTGGTAACAAAATGAGAAGAAAAACTAAAAATATTATTTTACGTGTTCTAAAATATCTCTTTTTTGTGCTAAAGTCAAATGTTAGCTCAACATGAAAAGGACATTTTCTCTTTTTTAATATAATTCAGCAATATTTTAATCTTGACCATTTTTGCAAACACTTTTTTTTAATAATAATAGCTTAAACGTGTACAAAAGTTCTTGGTTAATTAGGGAAATAAACACTCAGTTCTTTATATTTTTTTAATCAAGTAGGAAACACAGTTCATCTTATATGTTATTACTTTTTTTGTAATTTTTTGTTTGTTTGTTTTTAGCAGCTGCTTACTGTTTTATACGATGAGCAAGAGTGGAAGGAACAATCCAGCGATGGGGTGGAGAGAAAGAAGTTGCTTGCTCGGCTGTCAGTTTTGGTGGTGGATAGGTAGATGGTGCTCCCCATGGAGTTATAACAGGTATATTTAACGGTATGCATTATTTTCGGCTTGTGGATGTTGGTTTTCTCTCTCTTTCTCTCCCTTACAGTATAAAGTCTTTCTCTGTGTGTTGTTGTCATTATTACCAGTGTCTCTGTGCAGCAGGGCAGGGAGGAGGCAGCCAAGTGGGAAGGAGGGATGTGGAGAGGAGGGAGGAAAGATAGATGGAGATCAATCCTCCTCTGGCTCCTCCGCCTGCAGCAAGGCTCCGGGCGGGCCAGTGGGGATAGCGGTGCTGCTGCTGCTTTCGGTCTCTGGCTGCTGCTCTGTTCCGCCAGAGGAGGAGGAGGATGCGGCGGCAGCGGCGGCCCGCTTATTTCTCTGCTTCTCCTGGATCTTCTTCATCTCGTCCGAGTACTTGCAGAAAGTGTGTCCGAATTTGGCCCACACCTTGTAAGGGACGGTGATGGAGTTGCGGTAGGTGGGCTTGACCTCGCTCACCCGCATGAAAACGCCGTACTTGTTGGAGCCCACGTCGAAAAAGAACCGCTTGTTATCCACCGTCAAGGAGGTGCCCTCGGGCAGCTCGGCCGGCTCCTCCTCCACGCCGTAGTCGTCGATGAGCTTGGCCAAGGCGTCGCGGAACTCGATCAACCCTTGGGCTGGCAAGGCGATGGTCTGGCCCTGTGTGGAGCCGAGGCCTGGACCGCGGTTGACTGTCTGGCGGATGCGCAGGAATCGCCCGCGCTGGTTCTCCTTCAAATCCATGTAATACTTGCGGTTCTCGCGCACCAGGAATTCGCTTTTCAGGGCCCGCCGGGGCTCGTCCGCGGCCTGCGCCAGCTCCGGCGGTTGGCTGGGCCCCAGCTGTGCGTAGTGCTCGATGAAGTCGCCCAGATAATCGCGGAACTCCACCGCCACTGACATCGAGAGCGTCAGCCGGCTCTTGCTGCCTCCCGCACCCACCTCCGCGATCTTCAGGAAGCGGCCCTTCGCGTTCTGCTTGACGTCCAAGTAGAAGCGCTTGTTCTGGATGTCCACCCGCTTGGAGGCCAGCTCCTGCGTCTCGTGCTGGAGGCCCACCCCGCCGCCGCTACTGCCGGGCCCGCCGCCACCACCGCCGCCGCCAGGGCCCGAGCCCGGCGCCCCGCCGCCGCCGCCCTGCTCGCTGCCGCTGTCTCTATCCGCCATGATGCCTTCGGGCTACCCGACGCCCGCCTGCCTGCCTGCGCCCCCCCGGCCGCCGCCGCCGCCGCCGCCTCCGCCGCCCGTCGCCGCTACTGCTCCTGCCGCCGCCGCCGCTCCAACCCCCTCCGCAGCCACCAGCAGCAGCCGGCCGCTCTCGCGAGATCTGTGGAGGAGACAGAAAGAGAGAGAGCGGCTAACATGGCAGAGAGGCAAGCGCGCGACTGGGCAGAGGAACGGGGAGAGGAGGAGAGCGCGAGAGCGCGAGGTCCAGGAGACGAGCCCGGGGATCGGAGACGGCAGCGCCTCGCTGGGTTTGACTGGGCGAGGGCAGGGAGGCGCTCGCTTCTTGGCACTCAGGCCCCACCCACCCGTCCTCCGCCCGGCTATCGCGCCTTCTTCCCTTCGGGCTCCGCTGCCGCTGCCGCCGTCGCCCGTTAGCAGTCGGCCAGGCCCCGCACCCGCCCTCGCGCTGCGCCAGGCCAGCCTCGCCAGGGACACAGACTCCGCCCGGCCCCAGCTCGCGCGCGCTTGGATCCCCCCTCCCTCCTCACGCGCACCCCGACTGAGGCCGCCGCTGCCGCTGTCGTCGCCGCCTCTCCCTCGGGGAAACGGGGGGGGGGACCGTCTGCGATCAAACGCGGATACGCGATCACCTCGCCAGAATAACTCTCTTTCCTCTCCCCCGTTTCAGAAGTCGGCGTGTGCCTCAGGTCTGTCAGCGGACACAAACAGGACGGAGAAGGAAGCACCCCCTCCATCCTCCTCATCCCGCCTCTTGGCCCATTAAGCAGACCCTTCCGTCGCCCGCCGTCCCCAAGGAGGAATTGCATCCGTTCCCTCCGCCTGTCTTCGGGAGGCGAAGTGTTCAAGCAAAGAGAGAGCCGGGAGGAGTCCGCCCCCCGCAAGAGGCAACCTGCTATCCCACTACCGCTTCCTTGAGGCCAATTTAATCCTTTGAAAGCATAAATCAATGCCACTCTCCTCCGACCTGTCGGGATCATTCCTACGATACGCTAGCACGTTCGTTTTGAAATTCGCACCAGCTCCCCAACTGAAAACTCTGCATGACTTCAAGGGCTTTTGCTGGCCCGCTCCTAGGGTGCTTCACAATAGAGTAGCCTTTACCTTCAGGATTACATTGTTATACAAAGAATTTAGAAAACGTCCCCCTCCTCCATGATTTGGCATGGCGGCCAGCCCCCCTCAAACTCTAAAACCTTCCCTCCTTGGCTTACCTTTCAAAATGGGGAAAGAAGCTGTGCTTACCTTGAGCTCTTTCTGCACTGTTTCCGCCAGACTATGGCCCTCATTCTGAACCCTTTTTGCCTGCCTCGACTGATTCCAGAGAATGCATGAGTCTGGAGGGATTTCTTTTTGAGGAAGGCCATTTTATGTGCAAATCATGCTCTCTTCACAGCAGGTGGTCCAAGCAGTTTCCAGAATGGAATAGCCTTTCCAGATTAAACCAAAGACCCATTCTCTCCTGCTACTTTTCTCAAAGTGGTCTGCATGCTCTCCTTGCCAAATTTGAACAAGTAAAGTGTATTGAGTTAGATGGGTGTTGAGCCTAGCCTAACCCTTTCTCAGACATCCTGAAGAGAGATCATGAAAAGGACCAATCTTCAGTTACAGTAAAGTCTTGCTGCTCATAATGTTAAAATTTCTAAATTAAATTTACTTTTCCTCAAGCTAAATTTTGGAACTTATTTAGCTTTTCTTAATAGGTAATCTTGCCTTACTTCATTTATGCTGAAGTTTGGGGCTAAAGTGAACACAGCCTCTTTATAAATCAAGATAGGAATAAGGAAACATTAAAGACCTGAAACCAGAATGTCTGCCCTAAAATGGAATATTTTATATGCATCAAAGCGTCTTTATCAGGGAAATTGCAATTTCTATTAACGTGAGGCAGAAAGATGCCATGATCTTTGCTATTTTGCACTTTATGATAGAATATATTATTGAGAATATATGCCACATAATAGTTCTGTGTGCATCTCAAAAGGCACAATATTGAAACAAAAGCAGTACCATTGCAATCACTACAGCGTTCACCTTCTTTCCAGGCCCTGCTTTCCTCCTTCCTTCTTCCAGGTTCTTTCTCTGCTATGAGCAAGTTTGAGAGGCAACCTCAACCAGAGGTTGCCTCTCTGGTATCTACAAACTGCAGATTCTAAACCGTCCATGCTGGAGAGCACCTGTTTCCATCAAGAACAACGGGTATTTGGAAGCTGCATTACTACCTGAAAACAAAGCAAACGAGTACCCGAAATAGTTTTTCGTGGCGGTTTTAAGTAACAATAACCAATGGGCTACTTCTCGCGTACATTCGACTCCTGGAAGGTTGAAAGCCGGCATCTGCTAGGTCCAAAGCTAGGGGCAAGCGCTAACTCTTAGCGCCTCAATAGGTCGGACTCAGGCCGTCCTTGCAGCTGGGCGCCACTCCGACGTTGTAGAACGCCTTCCCTCCCTGCCGTTTCGCTCCCGGGTTCAGCTGCGGTGGAAGAACGATTCCGGAGCTTGCGCTACAACCTAATGTCCAGAAACCCAATGAAAGTCGCGGGCAGCGGTAGACTGTTCGCCCGTCCTCTCTTGGCGCTGGGCGGCGTGACCGGGAGCCCACCTGAGCGGAAGGGCTTTTGTCCTTATCCGGGAGAATCATGCTGAGGGTGGTGATCTGTCTTGCGAGCACACCGGGAAGAAGCTCCAAGATCCATCCCGGAGGCCACTTAGAGCTGTAAGAAGCAGCCACCCGTTCCTCCGATATTGCTTCGCATCCCCCGCAAGGAAAACCCGGAGCGTCTTCTTAGTACCTGCAACAATGTCGGTTACGGGTGGCCTGGGCAGGTTTGACTGGCTATCTTTATCACCTAAAATTTATCTGCTGAAATATGCTGGCTACCTAGCGTTTGTTTGTTTGTTTTTTATTTTTAGTTCAGAGGATATATTCCCCAATTAACAATAGCAAGCCAAGGAAAGGCATTTAAAAACAGGTCCGGTTAAGATTATATTAAGATACTATATGTTAACCTCTCAGACTACCTATATAAGGATCAAATTTCTCGCCTTTGATAATCAAGGAGGCAACCGATTAAAAATAAATCCCACTGGGCTGGGAGAGAACCATTATAGAACTAGGAAACATGCAGTTCATTTTTAAAATCTATAGTGTTAAAGTTCCCAACAATTATACTATAAAATTTAAGAAAGATTCTATTGCTAATTATTTAGTTTTTTGTGCTTCATATTACACCAGTTCTAAAATATATATTTCAATGGATACCCAATATATAATGGCACTTTGACAGATATTTTGATTCTAATAAATACCAGTCTACCTAAATGGAATTCCATGTTAACAGCCTTGTCTAAAAAAAGTTTATTTCTCATAAGAGGTTGTACCCCAGATTATGAGCACAAGAAAGATAATTTTATAAATAAACTGAACAGAGAACTATTTCAACTATTTCCCACTATTTAAAGCATAAAGACTTTTCAGATTTAAGATCTGTATGTGCTTCATAAAATAAAATAGATAAAGCTATTTGAAATACAATACAAATATAGTATTTGTTTAGAAAGTATTTGGTTGTATATATTATTTAGCTTCTTCAATTTGTTCAACTGTGCCAAAAGTATTGTTTTATTATGATATTCAGCCTTATCTAATTCTAATTGTATTTAGAACAAAATGGAGAGTTATTATCTTTACTAACAATTTATTAAAAAATATATAAAAGAATTTAATATGACCAGAAGCAACTACTTATTTATTCTGATATACATTTCCTAACTCCTACTACTTCTATGAAAACAATTAATGAAAAAATATTTCAACCAAGCAGAAAGTTTCTTTTGATTTTTGTTAAACAAGCAGTTATTGTTAAATAAGTAGTTATTAATTTAATTGCAAAAGTTCTAGCTTTATTCTTAAAAAAGAATGTAAATAGTAAGTCACATATACACAAGGGATGTGATATATTTAACAAATAAGACAAAATGTAGGGTAATAAAATTTCATCTTATCATAATCTTAATGACAATATTCTAGTATCATTGATATCCAAATATGACATTAATTACCAAGAACATTTTTCAATTGATAAAAACAAAGCATTACTATAAAGACATAAGTTTATAATGACCTAACATATTTGGGGACCTAACTCAATTATTTGGGGATTGCTTACTATCTTAGAACATGATCTCACAAACACTTTTGAAGTTTCAGTAAAATTGAGATTCCTTAAGAGAAGTTTGGTCCAGGTCATGTGGCTCTGCAGAAATTAAAATAAAGCATTCATAAAACACCCACAGCTAAAGTGAAAATGAGAATCAATCTTAATATATAATTGTAACTTAGTTCTATACATAGTATAAAATCTCACTTTTTTACCACTAATAAATAATCAAACAGTTGTTTTAGAAACAGGAAGACTGTATGACATTGAACCTTTGCTAAAATGCTGTAGAAAGTGGCACATTAAATTGCTAAAGCCTTAAAATGTATGAATGAAACATGCATGGCTTCAAAAATTTTAGAAATCTCTGGCATTAATACCATACATTGTAAAAATATGAAGTGTATAATTATTTCCAATGTAGTTCGATTCTGCAGATGAATTTAAATGGATATTTCAGACTCCATATGTAAAGAGAGTTAATAAAAATAGAAATCTGAAACATTAGAGAGGATTAAAATTTCTGAGGTATTATAACACAAAGCATGTTATTTCTTTTGAATTAAATTATTTCATTGTAAAAGCTATTTTTAAAGGTGTATTTTTGTCAAACCCTCAATGTTGCTTGTTTTTGGCTATTAACATTTTTATTAATATTTTTATATAATTACAGATGGAGGTAATATATCTGATCATATTGCTCATTTATTATTGACTATAATATTTGCAATGAAGAGAAGCATGTTTATAGTGAAATAAAAAATAAAGAACCTTCTCTCCTTTGCACCTATATTTTAATAGGAACATGTAATAGTCAAAACAAGTTTAGAAAAAACAACAGGTTTCCTTGCACTTAATGGGCAGAAAACAGTAATCAAGTTTGAGATTATGCCATTCATGAAACAGAGTATTTTTATCCCTGGTAATTTTCCTTTTTATCATGCTGTATCTGCAAAAGTTCAATTACTTATAAAATAGTATTTTAGAGATATGATTGTATTATTTCATATATGAACAGAAGCTACCCCAAAATATCACAAATTGGCAAGGATGCATTTTCCTAACCTTTAAAATGCCAATAATTTGAAAAATTTAACATTATTTAGCTAGCACCATTTATCACAAGTAAATTTTAATTATAGAGAAAATAACACAATCATATTACCACTGAGAAAAAGTACTTCAATAATTTGGAAAAAATATTAATTTTGCCCCAGCTAAGCAATATTTTGCATATGCATATTTTGCAGGTCTCTGATGTTTACTTTAAATGATTCAATCAGAAAGATGATGAAGACCTGTTTCCAAAGTGTTAAATATGTGTGGTGTATACACAAGGTCTAAAGCTTATATTTTATTTATACTATGCACCTCTAAAAAGAGATCTATTGAAATAATTAAAATTTGCTTCTGGATACACTCTTGACTTTTTAAAAAAAAAATATGTGTACATTTCTGCCTTTCAATCATTTAACATAAAGTACTTGAGCTAAATCTTATTGAATCAGTGTCTTAAATATATATGTAAAAGATCACACTGAAAATATACTTTCCAGCCATATCATCTGACTTGTTAAATGAAAAGGGCACGATACATACAACACACTTATCCAAATGCAATCAACTTCATACTAATACGTGAAAATTGGGATGGGTATTAAATTATTGCAATTATTTCTGCTTTTGTGGTGGTTATTATTAGTGTTAATAACAATTTTAATGTGAACACTATAGATCTGCATTATGAATTATCAGTGGAATTCACCAATAATATTTGCTCTTGCCAAGAAGACGCTTTTGAATACTCCCTGCCAGCCTTCAGACCTTTCCGCTACATATTTACTCGGAAGTAAACGGCTTGATATGTGAGAGGCTTAGACCTAGAAAAACTGTACAAAATGTTAAAACTACAGAACAATTTTGTAACGTGTTTAATTACTGTGTTTAAGGCAGGCGTTGAATATGTCAGTCGCATATAATATCAGGAAATTTATTCTGGATTGAAGTTTTAGAATGTGATCCATCCCACCCCAAACCAAGCTCGGCTACTGCCGCGCGGAAAACGTCAAGCTGAAGCACCAGCGGACGCGATCCTTCCAAGGGAGAGAAGGGGGAAGGGAGGCTCCTCCGCGGATCCCCGCCCCTCCCGCTCTGGGTCCGCTTGGCAGCTCTCCGAGGGAGTCGTGCAGCGCTTACTACCTGCCCTGCTGTGGTGGCGACTGCAGGAGGAGCAGGAGGAGAGCAGGCCTCGACAGCCCTGATTTTCCAGCCGGCTCAGCTCACTTCTCCTCTCCGCCTCAGAGCGAGTCGTGGCAGGCGAGTAGCGTCATTATGCGCGTAACTGGCGCCTCGTATTTGACATTGTCGTCAGAGCGCCTCCTTCCGTCCCGCCTCCAACTCAAGCTTAGCTGAGCGAAGAGGGCTTTGTACAAGGAAAGGTCTGCTTGGGCTGAACCGACGAGCGTGTCCAGGGCCTCTACGCTTAGCGGCGTAAAGGAGATCGGTAGCTGTGTGCAGTAAGGGTTGCGGGCATTTGGGGTAGGGAAACAAAGGCGCTTCGCCCTTGCGGTTCTTTTCGTGCAATACATGCGTCTGCCGCGCTGCACAGAATCGATATAGAACAGAATGCGTTCGTGGCTTTTCTTGAGACAAGAACTGCAGGCTAGCGCAGATTAGCGTTCGTGTTTGTCCTGTGCAATTCTGCTGAGAGGAAGCCTGAGCAATCATTGAAACGCAGCTTTGAAGAGAACTTCGGTTTTGGAATGGGGTTATCCTAGTATCGCGGGCGTCTTTAGACAACGCCCTCATTCTACTTTAAGATTATTGTACAGTATTTAATGTCTGTAAGAGGAAACAGGAATGTGTAGCTTTCTAGCCCTAGTTGGATTGCAACTCCCCTGAACTTTAACCAGAATAGTAGGGATAATGGAGGTTTTAGGTAATCAGTTTCTGGAGGGTCAACGCTCTACTCGTTTTGGTGCCCCTCTACTGTACAAGATCTTGGCAGAGTACACTACACCAGGTAGGCCTGGTTTAACATATGAACGGGGCCGAATGAGTGCTACTTGTGATCAGTTCTCCTCATACTTAGGACAGTCGTGGTCATATGGTCGCAGTCTGGGAATTTGGCAACCAGATTGGAGTTATAATATGGAAGCATCCTGCAGTCATGTATTGGCCATTTGTGACCTTCACTGCTGGCTGACTTTTGACAAGCAAAGTCAACGGGGAAACTGTCAGGAGGTTGCAAATGTCACATGACATGCTTAATTACTAGAGTTTGCTTAACAGTGTGTGTGGGGGGGAGAAGCAACGTGGTCATAGGGCATTGCATTGCATTGCATTAGCAATGGAAATTTCAGTCACAATTACCATAGTTAAATGAGGACACTATACTGTATAACCTAATAGCATAGCTATAGCTCTCCTGATGTTCCATAATGCACTGACTTGTGATCTAATGTTCTCTTTTAGATTATTTCCCTCATAGTGACTTAATAGCAGTCATTTTTGAAGTGATATTTGGACTAATTATTATTAATTTGCACTAAATTCATAGTAGAGAAATGGTTTTATGTTCTGGTACTGAATCCTTTTTGATAGAAATAACACATTTGGAATGGGTATCCTTTCTTTGGGAAGATATGACAAGTTGCCCAAATGCAAGGCTATTCCATCCAGAATAGGCATCAATTCTATAATTTCAGGGGAAACATGTATTGCAGATTCATGGAAGATGCAGAGAAATTTATTGTAAACTTTTTAATGATTGTTAGCAGGAAATATTTACACATAAACACTTAGCATGTTAATATTTGCATCATCTAATCTTTTAAAAATGATATTTGAAATAAAATATCTGGTTTATATAACATTGACAGACTGATAAATTACAATTGGCATGACTGTTAGGTTCTGGTAAAATAAACTACAATTTGACTTGATGTGATTTGAGAACAAGGCCAAAGAAAAATTTTGAAATTATTCTATCTTGTCAAGGAGTAGGTTGTGGTCTACCTTGTCAAATGCCTTACTGAAATCTAAGTATACTATGTTCACTGTGTTTCGCTGATCTACTAGTTTAATCACTTTATCAAAGAATGAGATGGGATGAGATTGGTTTGGCATGATTTGTTTTTAACTAACCCATGCTGGCTACTAGTTATGACTTTGTTTGCTTCTAGTTGTCTGCAGATCTGTTTTTTGATTATTTTTCTAGGATCTTCCCAGGTATTGATGTTAAACTGATTGGTCTGTAGTTTCCTGGATCTGTTTTTTTCTCTTTCTTGAAGATGGGAACCACATCAGCCCTTTCCCAATCCTGAGGTACTTCCCCAGTGCTCCAGGATTTATGAAAGATGTGTTGCAACGGTTCTGAGATAACATCTGCCAGCTCTTTAGAATTCTGGGATGTAGTCTGATGGTCCCGGTGATATATACTGCGCCCACCCCATTGCCAGCAATGGCAAAAAAAGTTGCGATATGTCACGACACGTCATGTGGCGTTGCGAGTTTGACACCCCTGATTTAGGGTTTCCAAAGACTTAGAAGGGAACAAGCTGATTACTAAAACCCAGAATGGTTTATTAAATATAGTTTAAATCCTACTACTTCTGTTTAGTGTTTATTTGATAAATTGGTAGAGCAAGAGAATGTGATGAAAGTAATGGGTTTAGACTTCAGTAAGACTTTCTTCCTGATAAAATGGAACAATATGGGATGGATAGTTCCACTGTCTGACGGATTTGCAGTTAGTTGAAAAACCATATTCAACATGTGGTTCATAATGGATCTATGTTTACATGGAGGGAAATAATATAAAAGAATACCATAGAGTTCTGATGTAGGACCAGCGTTCTTCAACATTTTCTTAAATGAATTTGACAAAGAGATAGAATGGATAGTCATCAAAATTTTTCACACTGAAATGTGGGAAGGCTTGCTAATAGACCAAAAGATAGAGTCAAGCTTAAAAAATATTCTGATAGATGTGAACAAGATCTAGGATAACTCACCATAGCTGACCTGCCCCAATAGACGTGTCCCCGGCTATTTTCTTACTGACCTGATTAACTCACCAGAGGACAGTTTGCCCTGGCCAACTCTCCATGGGACAATTCAATGCAGGATAACTCAAGAGATGGTCAAGTGAATTGTAACGGGCCTTATCTTGCTTTAGGTTTAAACCTTCTCAAATTAGAAGTCCTCAAGGCTGGGGTGAGCCAGAGCATGGAGTCCCAGCGGCCCATTGCCAAGACGTGTGCTCTGTCTGCCAAGCTGTGGAGCAGTCGTAATATGCCTGGGTAGTCCCTGCATGGATCCCAACCAAGAGGAGGAGGTCTGCCGCCGCCGCTTCTTCCTGGCATGCTTGCTGTGAGGGCCAGCCACTCTGCTGACATCCAGGTACTGGTCCTGCACCTCCTATTTCACACAATAACATAGAATAAGAGAGTTGGAAGGGACCTTGGAGGTCTTCTAGTCCAACTGCCCGCTTGAGCAAGAGACTCTATGCCATTTCAGATAAATCGTTGTCCAGTCTCTTTTTGAAAGCCTCTAGTGATGGAGCAGCCACAACTTTTGAAGGAAAATTGTTCCATTGGCTTATTCTCACTGTCAGGAAATTTCTCCTAGTTCTAGGTTGCTTCTCTTCTTTGATGCTTTGGAAAATAGTTTGACCCCTTTGTCTTTGCAGGAGCCCTTCAAATACTGGAACACTGCTATCATGTCTCCCCTTTTCATTGGATTAGACATATCCAATTTCTGTAACTGTTTGTCAAACCTTCAGACGATCCTGGCCACAGCCATCTTCGGCTTGTTTTCAGTTGCCACAGCAATGGGAGGAGGGAGATGTGTTCTCTTAGTTTAGTCATAACAAATACTTTCTTGAGGGAACCAAGGCCAAGCTACCTACATTTTGGTGGGCTGGAGTTTCTGTTAGAAAGCCCACCAAAGATAATTGGGGATTGTGATTTATGACATATTATAGGGATGGGAAGTCAACTTGTTACTTTTTAAGCTTGGGGACAGGGAACTTTCAGTCTTGGTTTCACCGTTGACCATGCTGATACTATGTAGCCATTAAAAGTATTCTTTGAGGAATGCAATTGCCTCAGAATTATTATTTTCCTCATCTATCTCATCTATCGGAACCATGACATTAAACTAAGACTCATACGAGGAGCCCTGGCTACTCACTTAACTGAACTAGTGCACTTTCAGATAGGGGAGCATTGGGAGCTAATCCAGTTTGTGGTAATCCCCAAAATGCAATGATTCTGGGGCTGGCCTGGCTTGACAAATGGCGCCCCATGATCTGGTTGGAGAATGGAGTGAGGACTTTAAGGTTAGCAACTGGACCATCACTTCCTATGCCAATCTGTAGCCCAGTTGAGAGCCAAGGGCAGCCCCTGGAACCTTGAAATCTGCTGTGAGTTCTCCACCTGGAGAGCAAATCATCCTAAGTGAATATAGAGACTTAGCAGAAGCATTCCGCAAAGCGGAATGGGATGTTCTGCCTCCCCACTGAACTACTGATTGCGCTATTGAGATTTTTCTGGGGGCCAAACTACCTAAGCCAAAAATGTATTCAATGACCCCCCATGAACTGAAACAACTGAGAGCATACATTGATAAGAACTTAGCCAGAGGATTCATCCAGCCAGCAAAATCCTGGGTAGCCGCCCCAGTGTTGTTTAAAGAGAAGAAAGATGAGATTGTGTGTAGACTATAAAGGGTTAAACTGTGTCAGCATAGAGAATATGTACCCTCTCCCCTTGATGAAGGACATGTTGGCTCATTTGGCAAAAGGTAAAGTTTTTACCAAATTAGACCTAAGAGAGGCGTATTACCGAGTAAGACTCAAGGAAGGAGACAAGTGGAAAATGACTTTTAATAGTCCTTTGGAGAGTTTCCAGTTCAATGTCATGCCTTTCAGTCTGCAAGGGGCCCCTGCTGTATTCATGCAATTGATAAATCAAGTACTGAATAGTCACCTATACAAGGGGGTCTTAGTTTACCTTGATCTAATCTACACAGAGACCATGGCGGAACATGTTGAATTAGTACGTGAAGTGCTCAGAAAACAGCTGAGTGCTAAACTTTACGCTAAGCTCTCAAAATGTGAGTTCCACCAGTCACATCTGAATTACCTAGGATATAGAGTGTTGCGATGGATCCAGCTAAAGTGAAAGCTGTTCTAGAATGGCAGTCTCCTCGGACCCATAAGCAACTCCAGAGTTTTTTGGGATTCGCCAACTTCTACCAGCAATTTATCCCCTCCTTTGCCAAGATTGCCTTGCTGATTACTGAACTGTTAAAAACGGGAGGAAGCCGCGATCCTGCCAGCCCCTGCCATGGTCCATAGAATGCCAGACTGCTTTTGAGAACTTAAAGAGACTGTTTGCAGCAGAACCCATTCTCAAACATCCCAATCCTGAAAAACAATTCATCATCCAGGCTGATGCCAGCGATGTGGCTGTAGGAGACATTTTTTTGCAAAAGAAATGAGAATGGGGATTTGCAGCCCTGCGCCTACACCTCCAAAAAGTTAACGGACACTGAATGAAGGTGGGCAGTCTGGGAGAAAGAGGCTTTCATGGTTAGGTGGGCTCTACTTACATGGTATCATTTCCTTGAAGGGAGCGACTTGTCTTTTGAAGTATGGACTGATCACAAAAATCTAGAGGCACTGAACTCCCCCCCCCCCATAAGTTATCTTCTAAATAAGCTTGGTGGGCACAGTACTTTAACCGTTTCAACTTCACACTAAAATACATCCCAGGAGGAAAACTTTTTCTAGCTGACGCCCTATCCAGATTGAGAGGAGATTGTGAACTCCATTATTCTGCAACCAGAGTAACAACAGGGGGGCCATCACAGGCCAAATTAACTGAACCTGATAACCTGTTAAAGAGGCTAAAGGAGGAGTTGAAAACCAATTCCTGGTTCCTGGCAAATAAAACCATACTGATTGTCGGGATGGATTGGCTTGGAAGGGATCGAAACTGTATCTACCAGAAACCCTCAGAGTTCAGGCCCTCCAACACAGCCACAATAGCAGGAAACTTTGGTTACCTAAAGTCTCTTCTGGAGAGACTTTCTGAAACTGATTGGGTCCTCGCAGGAGTTGTCATCAGCTTTTCATCCGTCTACTAATGGAACTGCTGAAAAAACTAACTCTATGGTGGAACAATATATAAGGCAGGCATGTCAAACTCATCACACAATGTATCGGGCCGGTTTTGCCATTGCCGGCAATGGGGTGGGCACAGCTTCCACGTGATGCGTTCAGCCCACAGGCCGGCAGTTTGACACTCCTTATATAAGGTGTCAAACAACATGGGCTGACCTCCTCCCCTTTACTGAGGTTGCTTACAATAGCACAGTACATAGCAGTACTGGACTCGCTCCTTTTAAAATAGCTACCGGAAGAAAATTCATTCCCATGCCTGAATTCTCTTAGGACCCTCTTGTTTCTCAAACTTTAGATCAGTGGGTAACTTCTTGGAAAACTGTGTGGGACAATGTGAAAGCAGCTCTAACAAAAGCCTCAAAAAACTACAAAGAGCAAGCAGACAAGAGAAGGGCCCTCGAGAGGTCATTTCGTGTAGGAGAAAAAGTTTACCTCTCTACAAAATATCTAAGACTCAAACTGCCTAGTAAAAAACAGAGACCAAAATTCCTTGGACTTTTCGCCATAGTGCAGATTATAAATCTAGTCACCGCAGAAATAAAGCTCCCTCCCCTTTTAGGGAAAGTTCACCCTGTGTTCCATTGCAGCCTATTGAAGCCATACAGAAAGTCCTCCTTGAGACCTCCTCCCAAGCAGGCACCTGGTCCCCTTGTCAGATAGGGAGACACTCATTATGAAATAAAATGAATCCTTGATTCAAGATTGCACAAGGGAAAATTATAGTATCTAGTGCAGTGGAAAGGATACCCACTATCTGAAGCCACCTGGGTAAAGAGTGCTGATGTAAAAGCTGATAGATTAATATGAAAATTTCATAATAAGCATCTGAATAAAGAGTGATTCCTGATTCTAACACCTTTTTAACCCACTGGATTTTTCTCTTCTTTAGAGGATCCGACTATCAAACCGTCAAACGATCCTGGCCACAGCCATCTTTGGCTTGTTTTCAGTTGCCGCAGCAATGGGAGGAGGGAGATGTGTTTTCTTAGTTTAGTCATAACAAATACTTTCTTGTGGGAACCAAGGTCAAGCTGCCTAAGTTTTGGTGGGCCTGAGTTTCTGTTAGAAAGCCCGCCAAAGTAGATAATTGGGTATTGTGATTTATGACATATTATAGGGGTGGGAAGTTCAACTTGTTACTTTGTAACCTTGGTGGGAGGGAACCTTCAGTCTTGGTTTCACCTTTGACCGTACCGATACTATGTAGCCATTAAAAGTATTCTTTGAGGAAAGCAATTGCCTCATAGTTATTATTTTCTTCTGGTCTCATCTATCGGAACCATGACACTGTTCTTCATATGTTTTAGTCTCCAGCCCCCTGATCATTTTTGTTGGTCTTCTCTGCACTCTTTCCAGAGTCTCAATGTCTTTCTTATATTGTGGTGACCAGAATGGATGCAGTATTCCAAGTGTGGTCTTGTTAAGGCTTTGTAAAGCAGTACAAGAACTTCACATGATCTTGATTTTATCCCTCTATTAACTGAGCCTAGGATTGCATTGACTGTTTTGACTGCTGCCGCACACTGCTGGCTCATATTTAAGTGATTGCCCACTAGGACTCCAGATCCCTGTCACAATTACTGGCATTAAGCCAAGTTTCACCTAGCCTGTACTTAACACAGTTGGCTTTTCTTGCTTAAGTATAGAACCTTACTTTAATCTACGCTGAATTTCATCCCACATTTTTCTACCTTGCCAAGAACTGGGGCTGGAAGGGGAAGCAGTGGGCTCGGGGCAGGGCAATGTGACTTTCTGTCTAGCAGGAAATGTGTAGATAAAATGTTTGTTATTTAACAGATCATTGAAAAATTTATAAATCTGAGAAAAATTATTATACTTTTATTGATTTGGAGAAAGCATATGATAAAATTAAAAAATGTGACTCATGGAAGTTCAGACTTGAACCATCCCTGTAACTGTTGATCAATAATTAATTATACTTTTAAAACTTTTGATGTGCTACACAGAATTTGCCAAAAAGAGCTCAGTGGTGATACATTAATTTATGCTCATATTCTGTATGATCTTTCTTTGGACTGTGGCAGTCTCCGAAAACCCCTACAATTCTGAATATAGTAGACAAGGTTTTTTGAAGAGCCTAACCAACCACTCAGTTTTACTGACAATTTAAAAACTTTATTAAAATAGTCTGTCATGGTTCCAATAGATGACCAATTAAAGCAGAACTCGGAGGATTGAGTTTTCCTCTAAG